ATAAGCTGTAATGCAATTTTGCAGATGAGATATTAATGTGATCTTTATGTTTGCTGCTAGATTTTTTAATTGATGAGGCAGTAGTTCTAAGGTGTAAGTATGTCTCTTTTCAGAGATGAATTCAGTTTGTTCTTACTACTCTTACTGTGTTCTCACTATGATGACCTCACTGATGTCTAATAAATTATTTCAAAATTCCTAAATTTTGCTGCTATTTTACTGACTTTCCAGGCAGCCGGTATCCAATGTCAACGGTGGAGGATGTATGTTGTTTATCAGCTGTTGTGTGTGCTTCTCTGACAAAGTTCTTACCCCATAAGATGCTTCAATAGCTGTTTCCTTTCTAGTTTAAAAATCTGTAACAGATGACTTTTGATTTTAAAGAGTTCAACATACCTATATTAAAAAAATTCAATTCCTTTTTCTTCAGACACTTAATGATTTGTCTCAAACTTATGTCTCCACTGGCACCAAAATACTATTTGAAAATGTGCTGTTGTACAAACCACAATAAGGTAAATTATTAACATCTATAAATATGGCACACATTGTATTTTTGTTTCTCCCTTCTATGAGGCAGAGAATTCTCTGATCCGCAGTTTTATCTTTTTCAGCACCTTTAGACATACAGAGTGTGGTTGGGAGATCAGAAAGCAAGTCCATTTTATATGCCAACAATTCCTCTCTCAACACAATAAAAAAATAAATTTTCTTTCATTTTAGAATGAACTATAAATTTAAAAATAATTCAGGTAAAATTTTAAATTGAGGAGCTTTTTGAAAAAACTATAGTATTACTGCAAAATAAAATAACAAAACATATTCATTTCTAATTTCACCTTAGTGTGTGTACAGGGAAAATTTAGGAGTTGTGAAATAATTTATTAGACATCAGTGAGGTCATGATAGAACACAACAGGAGTAGTGAGAACAAACTGAATTCATCTGTGAAGAGACATACTTACCCCTTAGGCCTACTGCCTTCAGAAAGTGTAGACATCACAAAAATAGACAAGCACATATCCCGTTATCTGTTAGAGTGATGACACTATCGCTCATCATGTCATTTGGAAAACCACTACATTTGTGAAAGAATGACTATAAAAGGCAAATATGTTTTAATATCATTATGGAAAAAATTTGAATTCATAGATCCCCCTGAAAGGGTCGAGGGGAACCTAGAGGTTCCTAGGCAAAACTCTGAGAACTTCTGAACCTCTTCATCTTACTTTTGGAGATAGAAAAAGAGATTCAAATTAGTCCCCAAAGTAGAACTAGCACGCAGATCTTCTGGCAGCAACTACTATAAGGCCTGTGTGCCTCTCTCTCATTCTCCCTCTTCCCTCACCCTCATTCTTCTTCTTACAAAATAAGTAATAATTACAAGTTCCACAAAGGTGGAAACCTTCATATTTATCTCTGTGTGTCCTGGCACTTACTAATCAGAGCCAATTGATACTCAATAACTGATTTGTTGCATTGGATTCAAGATTTGGTGATAAAGGATTGCTACTATACACTGATGTGAAAATTAAGGCTCAGTTAAAACGACCATAATTTTCCCGCAAATCGTGTGGAATAACCTAATAGTTCACCCAGTTTAATCTCTGGCTGTAACGCGCAGTCTTTCCATTCGGTTTTTAGTAAAAATGGTTCCAATGACCAATGAGAGAATACTAGTTGAAACTAGCTTAAACCACAAGTGAGTTCACTGGCTCATGTAACTGTAAATCTTGTGATGGGTTTGGCCTCAGGAACAGGTGGATCCAGAAGATTAAATTCATGTTTCTGGACACTGCTACCGCTCAGTTCTCATTTCTCTTCTCATGGTACTTTGGCTTCATTTGCAGAAAGATTATTTCTGCAAGTAAGGGAAGAAAACTCAGCCTAAATCTATATCCCTATAGCTCATAATTCAAAAGGGAGAGACTTTCTTTCTCTCTCCCAACATTCATTGTCAAGCCATATGAAGGGACCTGTACTGGTGTTTTCCAAGGGCCACAAGCCTAGCCCTGGGTGAATCCCTGAGTTAAGGATGAAGTGGTTCTATGACTGGTCCAGATGTCAACATACCTCTAAAGGCAGAGGTAGAACAGACCACACTGTTGACCACCCTCCTAGTTTTACATGGAGTGGACATGGATGCCAAGGGGAAAAAGAAATGTTGGCTGCATTTTAGTTCATAATATACTTCTCCTGATTATAAATCTAATACATGTACTGGGTAATATAAAAAGAATAGTAAGAAAAAATAAAACACGTAATGTTATCACACAGAGAGATTGTAGGAGACATATTTTATGTGTACTTTTCCAGTTTTCCTATGGGCTAGAAATGAATAAAAACAGAATTGCTTTTACATTTAAAATATATTAAACCACCTCCTCACATTCTAAAATATCCTTCTACAACCTAACTGCAATGACTGGTTCAAAGTGCAGTCTTGGGAGATATTCTAAGGCTCACAAACCTCCCTCTTTCTAAAAAGTTATTTCCATCTTCCCTTAGTAGGCGAAGTTACTACGTTCTCTGTAGTGTTCCTTGGTGCTTAGATAAGGCTACAGGGCAGAACCTGAGCCTTCTGTGGAAAGCACTTACTTCCGACGCACAAAAATAAATCCATTAAAATACTGAATCTAGAGAAAGATTGGAGTCACATCAGCAGGCACCTGGGCTTGCAGAGGTTTGAAAGACAGCTTGGCTGGATACCTATCTGAGTCCTGTGTGTTGCTGAAAAGGCTGTGGGCCAGAATTGCAAGTGTCCGTGCATGCTGAAAGCAATGACTATATTGCTGACCCAACTTGCGATTTCTGATTCTTCTTTCTACTGGTTAAATAATGGAACAGTAAAAATCTACAGGAGACATCCCTGAATTTATATGAGCCAATCAATCATGCAGCCAAATGCTAATACCTTCAGTGAAAGTCATGATAATCTCGTGTAGCCAGATGCTAAGACCTTCAGCGGAAACGGATACGTTGTGTACGTTGCATTGTGAGACAGGGTTCAGTCAGCAGTATGCTGGCAAATTTTTAACAACTAGTTCTCCAAATAAAACAGCCATTAGCTGCCATGTTTGTCAATTTTTATGGTGTAAACACTCCCACAATGGTCGGTCTTGTCTTAGACTGCCAAGCTGACATCACTGAGTATGTTAGGAGGTTAGGAAGAAAATTGCACAATTGGTTTTCATGAGCTGATACAAGCCAACTTCAGCACAACACCCGATACAGTCATTCCTTCTGCCAGATACTCAGTGAGCTCCTGTTCTGCGCCAGATTTTGTGCTGGGCTCTAGGGATGCAAAACACAGATGTTGTTTCTACTCTCTCAGATTTGTCATCTAGCGGGAGAGACGTGAGTCACAGCCACAGAAACAGAAGTTAGACTAAAGCAATGGAGAGCTATGGAAGCAGAGAATAGGAGGCTGTTACCTTGTCCTGGAGTCTGGAAAGACTTCCCTGAGTGTTATTTGCCTGTGGTCCAGTATAGGCGACTGGTTTCAAGCCAGAGGAAAAGCAGCTTCTGATCTCTGGGTAACCAATTTCTTGCATCCTATCCCTGTGTTTGAAATTCCTAGGATGGATTTTCTTCTCCTAACAAGACTCTGACAGATGTACTGAGGAAGTGACTGAATTGAAATCTTTTTTTTTTTTTCTGAGCAGACAAAATCGTAAGTAGGGGAGTGGAGAAGTAAGACAAGAAGAGAAGGAAGTGAATAAAGAAAGGTGCATTTATCAAGCAAATGACCACTGCAAGCACCTGGCACTTAATTCTGCCTGGGACTGTGGGAGACCAGGTTGAAAATGCACCTCAGATTTAATTCATGTGGTGGGAGAGGGTGTTGGGGTACCTACGTATGTATCCACCAACTCCCAACAGCCATGTGTTAAAGGCTGCTTTGGAGGGGTATAGTTCCCAGCATTTCTGGCCTGCTGTGCACTTGGAAAGTGTGGGCTTTGGGGGCACAGGAAGACCACAGGCAAGAAGACTCAGGCATGGGTATTTGGAAGTCAAGCCAAAGGGTCCAGGAATGGTCAGTGTCAAAGGAACATATGCAGGGCACTGACACCATCTGCTATAGGTAAGGAAAAATTAAAATGGTATGTGTGCAGAGGCATGACAGGTAAGCGAATGTCTTTGTAGAGAACATGTATGAGGTTGTTTAAAGTTGGCTCAGAGTACAACTAGAGACCCATAAGCAGCTCGTGGTTATACGCTGGGGTTTAGCAGCTGTGCATGTCTGGACACCACTGTAATAACGTGCCCTGAGCCAAAACGAGTTTATGTTGCTACCCCTAAACAGCCCTTGAGATTTCCAACCTTTGACCTTTGAAAAATGTGCACTTTGTGTTGCACGGTAAGTGCTGGTTTAATGTCATTCTTCAGCTTCATCTCTTGACACGTCCCTTTTCCCCACGGAAGCCCTGTATGCTATATGACGTCGTTACCAAATTACCTTCCCTTCCTCTGTTTCATGCCTTTGAATTTTCACAAACTATACTCCCTGTCTGGTGAACCCCTCCTCATCCTTCCAAACCCAGCTCAAGCATCAGCTCCTCTGTGCAGCTACCCCTGGCCCTCAGGATCAGGTAAGTCTGGGTTTACGACTTTACATTCTAGCAGCATAATAGCAAGAACTATTAAAAAGAAAACGCTCCCCTTTTTATTGAGATAAAATTGATGTAACATAAAATGACCCGTTTTAAAGTGTACCATTCAGTGGCATGTATATTTACAATGCTTTGCAAGCATCATCTCTACCTAGCTGTGAAATACTTTCAACTCCCTCCCCCGCCCCGGGCAAAAAACTCTATCCATTAAGCAGTCACTCCCCCATCCCTTCCTCCCTTCAGCAGCCGCACTAAACTGCTTTCTATGAATTTATCTAGCTTAGCTATTTCAGATAAATAAAATTATATCGATATTGTCAACAGCAAGACCCATGAACAATTCCTGAGGAATAAAAATAGAACCTGGGTAATAAAATAAAGCCCAACCTTTTTTTTTTTTTACCTTTTCTTTTCCTTTGTGCTTCATCTAGTTTCACTTGCTCACAGGATGCCATGTGCAGAGTTCTTGCCCCCAAGCACTTCAGACTGGAGTTCCTAGTGCGAATGGCCGTGCCAGACACCTCAGCGTGGAGGGCCGTGCGCTGACTGGCCGCGCGCAGAGGCGTTGCCTCGGACTCTGCAGTTCAAGATGGCGGCGGCGGGCGGTGTGCAGAGACGCTGCGCGCGCACACTTGGAACGGACGCCTATGAACAGCACAGCTGCGCCTGCGCTGGGCGGTGAAAGCCCCGCCCCTCCACCTGCCCGGATGAGCCCCATGGAGCAGCCTTGCCCACAGCCCTTCCGGGAGAACCTGTGCTCCAGAGCGCGAGCTTGCACCTCTCCTTTCATCAGAGAATAAAGCTTTCCTTTACTTCAGAACCAAACTCAGTCACGTTCTATTGGCTCAAACGACAGGGAGCAGGAGGACCCTTGTTGGGGACCGACTCGAGAGGGTAGGTAACAATATGTGACTGATTTTTGTGTCCGGCTTCTTTCACCAGGCACGTTTCTGAGATTCATCCAAGTTGCAGAGAATGGCAGGACTTCATTATTTTTGTGGCCAGAGAATGTTCCATTGGATGGATATACTATACTGCGTTTCTGCTTTCATCAGCTGATGGAAATTTGGGTGGTTTCTGCCTTTTGGCTATTGTGACCGGTGCTGGTATGAACCTTCACGTACAAGAATTTGAGTACCTATTTTCAATACTTTGGGGGATTCCCCTAGGAGTGGGCCTGCTGGACCATGTGGTAATTCAGCGTTTATCTCCTTGAGAAACCATCAAACGTTTTCCGCAGTAGTTGCACCATGTTACATTTTCACCAGCAATGTCAGAGTGTTATGTTTTCTAAAACTGCCTAGTTTTGAATCTCGACTTTGCTACTTACTAACTGCATGAGCCTTGGGCAAAATACTCCCTGTGCCCAATTTGCAAAATAAATAAAGAAGAATAGAATAGTACCTATCTCGTATGATTGTTTTGAGGATTAAATGTGTTAGTATCTGTAACACTTAAATGGTACCTGGCCCAGGGAAAGTACTAAGTGCCAGATGTTTCAGTTATTTACTGTTCTAATTGCACTTAAACATTTCAACGTTAAAATATGAAGCCTATCCAGTTTTTCAGATTTTTATCTCCACTTCTTGGCACATTATCTGGCAAACAATATGGTCAGTAAGTGCTTGGAGAAAGTTAAGGAACTTCTCAAAAATAGTGAATAGATATATGCCATATTAAATATTACAATATATGGCAACAAGTGTCTAAACCATGTAGTTCTCACATAATAATAGACACATTGCTGAATGTAATAAGTAACTAGTCCATAAGAGACCCTACTATGTATAAGTTCTCAATATATGATGGACATATGATAAATGATAGAGAAGAATGGATTATCCAAAAGGTGTTGCATAATCATCTATACACAGAAAAGGATGAAGAAGGTTATATTTGACACCTAATACCAAAGTAAATCCAAATGAATGTAAGTTTGTAGAAAAATTAAATTATAAAAGACTGCAAGAAAACTTAAGCAAGTATTTTAAACTTTTTTTTGTATTTCTGCCTGTAGAAATAAAAGTATGAACTAAATCCCTCTCAAAAGATCAATACATTTGGCTATTATAACAGAAAAAAGGCTCTCTGTTTCAAAAGACATATAAAAAGGCAAACAAACTGAGAAAAAATATGTGCCACAAGTCTTAATAAGAGCATTAGTTGTCTCTGCCTTGTGGGATTATGGCTAGTTCTTATTGAGACTACATTTCACTATGTTTTTAATTTTCCATGATGAGGATGCAATACTTACAACATTTATGCAAAAAAAATTTATAGTAAGTTTGCTGACCTAACCAACGGATGGCTGGATTAATTTTTTTTTTTTAGATTTCGCATTTTCACAGTTGTTTGCAGCTCTCTGTTGTACACATTGTAAAGGAGGAGAGGAGACATTAGACAGAGAGAAGGCAAGGTTTCAATTGTGCCAGCTCTTGAGTCTCTCAGATCTAACACATTTTCTTTCTTCAGGCCCTAACATCTTTTATGAAGAAGCAAAATAGAATGCCCTAAACTATAAATAAAACTGCTAGCAAGAGGAAAATATTAGAGATTGCTACCATAAAATCCTAAAATAAACACTTGACCAAAAGAATTCTACAGGTAAAAGCCTTATGCTCCTCCCTACTTTTACTGATTAATCATCATATTTAGAGATACCACATCAACTCTGATCTCGCTAATGTTTTTGCAATTCGTACTGATATTCAGGTACTTGTGACATGTCCAAATCCTGCTCTTTCATACAGTGAATCAGTCAACATGCTCAAAAGAGTGCCATTTACACCAGGGTGTGCCAGTTAAGTGTTCAAACCTTTGCACCAAAATGAATGTCATTTTACAGAAAAACAACTCAGCTAGGAATTTTGATGTAAGAACAATACTGATTAGAAAAAATGACCTCCTTTGATTCAGGGCCCCAGGTCTCCCCTGGAGCCACAGCTTAGTTACAGAAGTTGAACTCTAACGTTTCCATCTTCAGCATTTGATTGCCAGAATTTCAGCCTGGCATACAAAAACATCCAAACTCACTTTTTTTCCCCCCTCGACAGGCTGTTTGTTCTTCTTTAGCGCAGCTTTCATTTCCCCTTGGAGACATCATTCTCTTTGGCCTTTTCAGTACTACTAGGCTACAGAATGCCTCAAAGCCTAAAATGATACTTACTGAGATTGACAGTCTATGGGAGTCAGGCTTTCATGCTGGCTTGGCTGAGTCAAGTATCTCCTTGATGACTGTCACGGAGCACAATTATATGGTCAGAGACGTTTCATGCTGTTCACCAGCGTGGTGATCCTAGCAGTGAGCACCATGAAAGGACTTCTTGAATCAGAAAGAGAAAGATACCAATATTTCTGACGAGCTACCATGTCCTAGGCTTTACATAGTATTTGGCCATTTGTTTTCTCCCAGCATCTATCTCTGCCTTCTACCGCCCAAAGCACCCAGTTTTCCTTTGGGGAATTGACACTGTATTTGTAGCCATGAGGTTTAGGGAGGATTGACTTTACCTTTCTGGACATGGGCTACTATTGCTTTAAAAAAAAAATGTATTTCTTTCCTCTGACTACAGTGACTGATTTGGGAGTGGGTAGATAAATAAAATGCACCAATCCCAGGTACTGCAAAAAGAAGGTGTCTCCCTCTTCCATGGAAGCCACCAGCAAATAAGTTTAGCTAAAGGGAGTGGTGTGAGGCTGTGTGGCCTGGAACTTCTGCAGCCATTGTTGCATGATGAGGTGAGCCACTTAGGCACAAAACCAACATACAAAGAGTGCTGAGAAACAGAGCTAGATCCCTCAAGATCCCATGAACTGTGATCAAACAGTAGCTGAAGCCAAAACTCCTCTGAGTGTTTTAAGATCAATGAACAATTAAATATGATTGTTTTTCTTAAGCTAAATTGCATTGAGTTTCTTGTTGTTTGCAACTCAAGATTCCTAGCCCATACACTATCTATAATTTACCACATTTCCCTTACCATAAGCTTGTGAGTAAGTATCACTATACCCATTTTACAGCTGAAGATATCAAGTCTCAGAGAATCTCAGTGATGGTGAGGCTAGGAGGTGAACTTAACCTGTCTAAAGCCCATGTTATCCACCTCTATGCCAGCTTTTCTCAAAGTGTGGTCTTGGAACTCCTGAAGGGGGTGCCCCAAACTCTTGCCAGGGATTTTGAAAGTCAAAACTACTTTTATGATAATACTAAGACATTATTTGTCTTTCTGCACTCATTCTCTTATGAGAACACAGTGAAGTTTTCCAGAGGCTTATGACTTGTGATGATGTCATTTCCCTGGTGGCTAATAGAATATGTGCTTCTGTGTTCTAGTGCTTTCTAGAATTTTCTAAGGCAGCCTCTTTGGAGTTCTCACTATTAGAGTGTAAAGACGTCTCGAGATTAAAACATTTGAAAATTCATGCTCCAAGCTGTACTGTATGATTTGAAATGCTCAGAGCATTAGCAGTGATATGTTATATCTAGCACAAATAACTTTTAAACATTTTATATAAATTAGATATCACCTTATTACCGTTTCATGTAAAGTGGAACAAGTGTTGTGTTAGATTCTGGTGAGAAGTTATAATTTTTCTTTATATTTAATTACATATTCTCCTTGTGGAATTCTGGAATCTGTGAATTTTAGAAATTTGAGGGCCCTTTCTGAGCTTCTTCTCAGGCTCTAAATATAAACTGTCCTCCTGGCCAAAATAAAAATTTTCTGAGATCAGTGTTTCCAAACAGAGATATCTCAAAGTGGGTGCAGTATGCCTGGATACAGGCAATAAAGGGGTGCATTTTCTGTAGACGATTTTAAAACAATACTAAACTCAATGCAAAAGCTGTCTGCTTTTTATTAGGAACATGCTCTGACAATCCTAAACAATGTCAGTAATAAAATACTCCTCCAGCCACTATTTCAAAATAAAAAATACTTGGACCTGAACTGATACCATAGAGTTTGAACTGTTACCCTGAATTCCATCCCACCATCATCTCCCTGACTTGGATATGAAATCACTTCCTTCAGTTCTTCTCTTATAAACTCAAAGCAATGATTTTTAAAATACTCAATATTTGTATAGCATCTCTGTCTCAACATTTAAATTGAGAACCTTCTCTGTTCCTCACAGCCCACCCTCCTCTGATGGCCTCAAAACACCCTAGACGTGCTGACTCATTGTATCCCAAAGTCCAGTGGGAACTCCAGATCACAAGGTGTTTAGGATGGAAATCAGTGTCAAGTTTACAGGTGCAAACTGCAGAGAACCTTCTAGTAGACTGCCTTCACCCACTCCCCCATCTCACCTCAGACTCTCTTCCCCTCCCTCAATACAAAGCACATTTTCCATGCACTCCACTCTCCCACCTCAGGCCTTTGCACATCCTGTTCCTTTGGCCTCGCTTGCTTTTCCCTGACTCTCCTCCTGGCTGGCTTCTTCTCATTCTCCAGGCTTCAGCTTAAATATCACTCCCTCAGGGCCCACCCCGTCCAACCCTTCAGAAGACTCA